TTAACAATTCAAGGAGTTTTGAAATTCTATAAGGGATCTTTTATAAATTTCCAGTTCTCACTAGCTACAATGGCACTGAGAAGGCTGAGACAGAGGACTGTGAATTTGAGGCTAGCCGGGGCTGGGCACTTAATTTCACATAAGCTGCAATACATAGTAAGTTCCTATAGCAAAGAACAAAAGAAGTTCAACTCTCTTAAGTGTTTACAACAACAAACTAAAAACTTATAAAAATGTGCTTTAATAACAATACCAACTTCCCCCCAAAAAATCAAAACAAAACAAAAACCCCACGAAAGCAAAACCTCTGCACTGAGCAAGGCAGCATCCAGCACATTTACCAAATAGATAAAAGAAAGTCACAGGGCAGGAAGAGGCCTCTGGTCCCAGTTTACCAACTTTACTATTTCAGGGTGCCCTGTACATTTCCCCAAATCAGCTCTTAGGTTCAGCGACTAGAGACTTGATTTTGGTTTTGTATTAATCTGCATGCCTTCTGATAGGGAGACACAATCGCCAAGTCATGCACATCCCAATGTTTTGCACATTTACACACAAATGATTTTAATACAAGAGTCAAATCTCTCAAAAATAAAACTGAAAGTGTCTACAAAAGGAACATCCTGACTATAAAGTTCAGTTACCCAGAAGCAGACAAGTAGGCTGAACTTACAGATTCCCTCATTTTCACCTGCGACCTACCCAGCCCTCTAAATCCTACTGCACTGCCCCTCGTCCAGAGCATCAGTCATGATTAGTCCACATAACCCTACGCTGCCATTACACTGCTGTGTCTGCTCCATAGCTGTGAAAACTCTCAAGGTTCATCCAGTACTCCATCAAACACAATCCTTCAGAATCAGAACTCAAAACAAAACAGGCACATATCAAAATGTAACCTTCATAATTAAGATCTATTTAGGTTAAAATAAAATACATCCTACAAGTGTTTTTCAAAAATTTTCTTCATTAGATTACTTTTTCCTAGCTAAAAGTATATTGAATGTTTTATGAGAAAATAAAATTTTATATATAAAATAATGAAATGGCTAATAGAGTATCATAAAGCATCATGAATACAACGTAAACGCTTACTAAATTATCTCTTCAGAAAAATTGCTTAAGGAATTAATTATACCTGCTCTTGGGATTCCTTAAAATTCTTTAAAATTATTGTGAATGCTGACAAGTAGTGGTGGTGCAAGCCTTTAATCCCAGCACTCAGGAGGCAGAGGCAGGCAGATCTCTGGGAGTTTGAGACCAGCCTGGTCTACAAGAGCTTGATGTGGGAGTGATTTCTTATTAATAAAGAAACTGCCTTGGCCCATTTTATTGGATAGAAAATTAGGTAGGCGGAGTAGACAGAGGAGAATGCTGGGAAAAAGAAGCTGTGTGAGGAGTCGCCATGGTTCTCCCGTTCCAGACAGACGCAGGTTAAGATCCTCCCTGGTAAGCCAGCTCGTGGGCTACACAGAATATTAGAAATGGGTTAGAACAATATGTAAGAGCTAGCCATAAGGAACTGGAACTATCCGGGCCAGGCAGTGTTTGAAAGAATACAGTTTCCGTGTAATTATTTCTGGGCATAAGCTAGCCATGCGGGCGGCCGGGTGCCGGGGACGCAGCCGCGCTGCCGCTCCTATTTCAACAGATGGCGCCCAGACGTGATGGCTAAATCCACTTAAAAACCTGAGAAGGCTTAAAAATAAGGGAGAGAGAGTTTAACACAGATTTTTGCTGTTTTGTTGGTGGCGTTCTGTAGAGAGATTCCTGATTCAGCAACAGCAAAAAAAAAAAAAAAAAAAAAAAAAAGCCGCGTCATTTTAAAGCGCTGCTTCCTGGGGCTGTGCTGCCAGCGTGAACTCTGGCTTTAAAGCATTTCAAGGCTTTTATGGGACTGGATGTTTGTGTTCCCGCTTGGGATCGGAGGAGAGTGCTCTGAGACTGTGCCGATGGCTCAGCGCTTCCCGCCTGCACCTGGGCAGACGGCAGAATCAGGCTTAGGCAGGCGGAAGAGCATGGCGGATTCCTGCCGCTATACAGAGACGCATTTTCAGACTGCGCAGTGCTCTGCATGTCAGATTTGGCTGTAACTTGGATGAAAAGAGTTTCTGTGCTGCACACTCAGTCTCAGAGTTAAACTGCTGAGTGCGGCTCCAATGTGGACTTGCTGTGTGCCTGAAACTGTGAATGGTTCAGGGGCACCAAATGACTCTGAGGCAGGAGCGGCTGCTCCATGCTGAACTGTGCTGATCTCAGGCAGGAACTACCGTAATTACCTTAAAACCGTGCAGTTAAGGTTTAGACTGGGCAGGACACAGGCAGTACCGTATTACCTGTAAATGGTGCAACTTAAGTTTTTAAGAAATGCTTAACATTTTAAGAAATGCTCCTGTATAGTAAAGAAATTACAGATTCACAATAAAACAGATTCAGACACTGTTGGATAAATGTACGTAGGCTTGGGAAAGAGAAGAAAAAGAATATAAAGAATAAAGTTAATGTCTTAAAAAGAAAAAGGGTAAAGTCTTTAAAGAGACAGAGTACAGAAGTACAGAGAGTTATAGATTAAAAGAAATAAAGAAATATAAGCCACGTAAAAATGGAAAATTCACAGAGAGTCTGGATTATGTACATTGTGTTTTCTTTAAAATTTTTGACTGTGAAGGAGCTAAGTACAGAGAGACATTTCATTACATGGGCTGCCAATCTAAACCAAAATGGATATAAGGGTATTATGATTTCAGAATTTGGGTCTAAGGATATGATGCTTTGGAGAGGGTCTTCTTTTGTTTTTGCAGAGGATGAGACCCTGTGGATTGCATCTATTCCGATTTGGTATGATAGACCACGCCCTCCTGAAAGGTTGCTGTGAATACCCTCAAAAAATTGCTTCGCTCAATTGCCAACTGAGATGAAACTAGCATACAGGTTATATCATGAACAACCTAATTAACGACGCCCCTATTCAGCAGGAAGCAGTTTGTAGAGAAAAAACTACGCCCATGTTCCCAAATATTGTTTATAAATGTTCTTTTACATTTAAAGGGGGATATGATATAGATATGAATAATTTGCATTGGTATGGATTTTATGGTCAATTTTGTTATATGTATATGTATTTTTGATCTTGATTAAGGTATTGTGATTGTGTAGTTCATTTAAAAATGTAATGTATAATTAGGAAATATAGGTTGTTAATGGATAATCATCGCTAATACTTAAGCTTGTAGTCATGTTAGTTAGATTTTCTAGATATATAGAGAGATATTTTAGTTAGATAGGCATTCTTCATATCTTTCAAAGGCTGCAGAATATGGCATTTAAGATATTTTAATAACTTAGGGTTTTTCATGACAATGAGACACATTTGCTCCTGGCAGCACCAATCTATTTCAAGAGGAAGATGGGCATCGAAGAGAATCCTTATGGAGTTTGATAGCCATTTGGGCAAGAAACTGCTCTTGCCTGGACTGTTGCATAAACTGGACACAGAGAACCCGCAGAGAGAGGACTGCTGAACTTGCCTAAAGGTGAGATGACCTTTTGGGGTTCCTGCTTCATGAAAGAGTCTGTGAGACATTCTGCAGGACACAGCAAAAAGTGACTGAACTGTCTTTGGAATTTCTTGCTTGATGAGAATGTCTGCTGGATACTATGGGCCTGTAGGCCGAAGATGGATGCCCCAACGGTACAGAGGAACTTTGGGTGACTGTCCAGGCAGCGAGATGTCTCTGTCATTTCTAGAGTTTTCTTATTTCTTGTTTGATAGGTAATATTATATCCTTCTGGAGTCTTTGATGGAGTTGAAGAATGGTTAGTTATAGTTTTCCTTAGTTATGATAAGAGATAAAATAGATATAAATATTGTAACTGTAATTCTTACTTGATAACTGTTTTGTTATATGTAATTTTACTATGTTAAAGTTAAAGCCTTTCTTTTTTGTTTAAACAGAAAAAGGGGAAATGATGTGGGAGTGATTTCTTATTAATAAAGAAACTGCCTTGGCCCATTTTATTGGATAGAAAATTAGGTAGGCGGAGTAGACAGAGGAGAATGCTGGGAAAAAGAAGCTGTGTGAGGAGTCGCCATGGTTCTCCCGCTCCAGACAGACGCAGGTTAAGATCCTCCCTGGTAAGCCAGCTCGTGGGCTACACAGAATATTAGAAATGGGTTAGAACAATATGTAAGAGCTAGCCATAAGGAACTGGAACTATCCGGGCCAGGCAGTGTTTGAAAGAATACAGTTTCCGTGTAATTATTTCTGGGTATAAGCTAGCCATGCGGGCGGCCGGGTGCCGGGGACGCAGCCCTGTCGCTCCTATTTCAACAGAGCTAGTTCTAGGACTGGCTCCAAAGCTACAGAGAAGCTCTGTCTTGAAACATCAATACATATACATATGTGTGTGTATGTATGTATATTTGTGAATGCCAAACAATTTATGAGTTATGTTTTTAGAAATTTATCACATGAATTAAAACTTTCAGTACTCTTAAATACTAGTTAACTTATCTTAAACTTATTAAGTAAATACATATTTTTAATTAAGATAGCTACTATGGCATTATGCAAGAAATTTTAGTGGGAAGGGCTGTAGTTTTTTTGCAACTCTAATATCATAACATAAAAGCGGGATTCTCAAAACAATTTCAATACAAGGTTACATTGTTATGTTGTGTGTAATCTCTAGAAACCTCCAAAGCTTAGAACACAGAAATACATATTTTATATTGTTATAAAAATAATTTGATTATAGGGTCCTAATCTAAAGTCAGTAAGTCTGGAAAAAATACTAGGGAGCTAAAACTAAACTCAGAGAATGAGCTACCTTTAAAAAAAAAAAAAGCCATATTCCTGTATAAAATATGTGCCATATAGTGGTCTGGTCAAATACTTAAGAAAAGATTGTGAAGTTTCCCTTATACTTTCCAGTTGTTAAAGGGCACAGCAGACATGAGAAGTCTTTGAACACAGCAACTGTGGGGTAGATAAACATACCTCTTCTGCTGCCGCCTCGGAAAGCAGGCCTTCTTTCTGCGCACAGGTAACATGAAAATAGGCTCTGCACATCCCTGCATCACAGCTAATGCAAACTCCAGTTCTAGCAAAGCGAGTGTCTTCACAAAAGCTACACTCCTATGAAAGTAACAGGAAAACTCTCACAGCAAAAGTATTTCTGAAGCAAAATAAAATTATCCTCTCATGAAGTACCCACTAAATATTACCAGTGCCAAAAAAAAAAAAACTGTAGACAAGCAAGTTCTGATGAAAAAGAGAATTTTTTGCACAACTCTAATCAGCCTGAACTAAACTGATAGAGTAGATAAGAAGAGATAATATTATACGAGTACTTAGGTGCTAGGCACTTAAGTCTTCTTAGTGCTTTACATATGCTAAGAGATAAAATCAATTTGGTAATTTTTCTTGTTACATTAAAAATGTTGAAGTAAAGCCGGGCGGTGGTGGCACACGCCTTTAATCCCAGCACTCGGGAAGCAGAGGCAGGCGGATCTCTGTGAGTTCCAGGCTTGCCTGGTCTACAAAGGGAGTTCCAGGACAGGCTCCAAAGCTACAGAGAAACCCTGTCTCAAAAAACCAAAAAAAAAAAAAAAATGTTGAAGTAATAATGGGCTGACACCTGTTCTAAATAAAGTGTGGTTTTTATATTCTTTTTCTTAATTTTAATAAAATTCATTTCACAGTTAAAGTAAAATTTATTTAATCCAACTGTGTAACAAGGTATTCTCTGGGTCCCAGAGAATAGAAACAGTATCAATTAATATGCATTTTTACAACTTAGGTTATCTGAAGTTATACCATATGGAAAAATCAATAAATTTGTCCTCTGAGGAAACATCTATCAACTAATGATTCAAACATGATGACCATACCTGATCCTTGAACTGAGAAGGAAGAGGCAGGCTGGCTACTGTAAGTTTGAGGCTGACCAAAGCTACAGTTAGATATTACCTCAAAAATACAAAAGCCAAAACAAAATAACTGAATAATATAAATGACTTAGTGCTAAGAGTTGATCAAGGAATGTGCTTGCTATTAAACACCTCTGGAATAATTCACAATTATTTTAAAAAGCTATGTAAAGAAACAAATAAAATTTTCAATTTTACCTAATCATAAAGTTGATCTTACCTTGGCACCATATTTAGAATAGTTCATTTCTGTTAGTGTTACTGGTCGTAACTTATCAATATCTCCAAAGGCTACTCCGGGAACATATAGGGCACAAACAATGTGAACCCATCTGTAAGAGAAAAGATGCAATTCTGCTGTCAAATGCTTTCCTGAAATTCTCACATAGAAGATGAACATAAAATATGCTCCACCTCAAAATACTACAGAAAGCATTCAACAATCAGATGGTTTAAAAAAAATTCATCTCAGACTCTTAACTGGAAAACACAGAACACCCATAGAGTGATGCTCCACCATGGAAAGCAAGCGTGCCATGAGCACTGCTCTTCCAGAAGACCGTCCAGTCAAAATGCAGGTCCAGCAACCATAGCTGCTCTGCTCTTACAACTCCCTGCACTTTGGTCTTACCTTATTCTTAACTATTTGCATAAGAATGCTATTCAAGGATAACAAAACATTGCCCTCATATTCCAGGAAAGATATTCACATTCATTACTGTGAGCACTTTTAGAATTAAGGACTCTAACTTAAGGACTACAAAGTTATTTTGCAATAATTAGATTAATTGTTCTTTACTGCTACCTTTCCCACAAAGTTGCTAAATATCCCCATGGATATATTTTTAGACAGTTTTGGTAGCAAGTTTAACTTTCATCTCAGGATAAAATGGTGGCTGGGAAGAGGTACAAAGCACAGTGATAATAATGGAGGAGTGCCATGTTTTCACTTTTCTCATCTGTTCCCTTTATAACCTAAGACCTGAAGTTTACAAACGTCACCTACAACTACATAGTATAAATTCTGCACAAAGCTAGTAACACTTTTAAAATATGTTCAACTTTAGCACACTGAAAAAGAAAAAAGAGTTAGTTTTGATTTCTTTAAACTGCCCTTAGCTATTATTACATGATTACATATCTATCTGTTTGCTTGCAGTCAAAATTCTGAATAGCTGCCTGAAATTTACATAGCGGATATGCATAGCTTGTGTAAGAAAAACAGTAAAAGTCAGATGGCAAGTCTCTATGAGCTTTGTGAATATAGTAACAAATTCTGCTTTATCTCATCTTCAAAAGTTCTGATTTTAATATGTAATTTGTTTTAAACAACTAAGAATCACTCTATAGAGGTATTAAGGAAAAGTTATAAAACTTTAGCATTTTTATCATTTTTTGCAAAAAAGAATCTATCTATAGTTCTGAGATTTTTTTCGATAGAACATTTTAATCCAATCTCCAAATTCATTATGCGGAGTTCAATATAAAGATAACATCTCAACAAGCAGCCGCTTTCTCAATTTAATCTGTGAGGTATGATTATATATTTTATATATGATTATATTGATTATATATGATTGAATGAATGAATGAATGAAATTTATATCCTGGCACTGCTGAAGAATGCATGGGCAGCCGCTACATTGCGGTTCTGTGGAACTTGTCCATATTGGGTTTCATGCTTTTAAGTTGATGAGGATGACTGACCGGGTCTCTTCCCCAAGAGGTCCCAGATCTCATTAAAGAGATTGTGAGCCACCATGTGGTTCTGAACTCAGGTCCTTTGGAAGAGCAGGAAGTGCTCTTTACCACTGATCTGCTAAATCTTCTATTTAAGAAATGTAAAAATTCAGCCAGGCTGTGGGGGCACACGTCTTTAATCCTAGCACTCGGGAGGCAGAGGCAAGTGGATCTCTGTGAGTTTGAGACTAGCCTGGTCTACAGAACAAGCGCCAGGGCAGGCACCAAAGCTACACAAAGAAACCCTGTCTTGAAAAACTACAAAAAAAGTAAAAACTTAATTTTTATTTCAAGAATTCCACAGCTATTTTCTCACATTATGAATCACATCAGTAGAGGAGAACGTATAGTTAAATCCATACAATAAATCAATTTCAAAACTCTTTTAGCCTGTCCATGAAGATAAAGGACATGTCCAATTTTTATGGTTTTTTTTCTCTTTTTTGGTCTTAAATCAAACTGGCATTACATGCTGCAAAATACATAAAAGCCCAAAATTTCTATCCTGGCCTTTGGCCTCTGTGGGACTTTGGATATATATATTATATGCAAAACAAAACAAACAAGCATTTAAATAGTCTGCCACAGAACTGTACCTCTCTGCCCATGGAGTACCTAATCTGTATATATAATATGCACAGTAATTAATATGAATATTTTTACTTTAATAGCAATGCTTAAAGTGCTGTCTTTTGTCTTCTTTTGGAAAACATTACACGTTACTTTGCAGAGCATGACAGCACGGAAAGACACTTTGTCAATACAACTTTTAAATTAACAGGAAAACCAAGTAAAATGAATTCTCTTCCTCAAAAGGAAGCTAGGTTGTTTTTTGTTTGTCTTGTTTTTCTTTTTTCAAAATGGTTCACCACAACTGAGTATTCAAAGTTTCAATATTCAAGATAGAAATTACCAAATGGCATGTATACTGCAGCGCCTACTCTGAAGAAAGCAGTAGTAGCAGCTGCATTGATAGTCAATTAGGGGACATTTACTGTCCACCAACTACATCAGGAACTCTTACATGAGTTGTACCACTTAAGCCTCTCGAAGGTACTACAAAACTAAGGCATAGTAACAAGGCTAACGAACTCGCCTAAAGTCATGGTAGAATAAAAACAAACAAAAAAAATAAATCTAAATAAGGCCAAACTACTTGGAATGCACATATTTCTTAATGCTTTACTAAATCCACAGTTATAGGTCATAGTCCAAAAATTCCATGTATATAAACGAACAAGTTCTAGTCTATATATAAAAAGTACTTGCTACTATTTTAGTTCATTTCTTTTCTTAGGAGATGAGGGGCTGTCTGGATCCTGAGCACACAGGGTCCCTTAAGATCTCATTGTAGACTCTATGTTATCTTAGCAATCTACCAAGGCTATATTTCTCAAGAGTCTGGTTACTAACTGAAACAAAATGAGAAAGATGTTTTTCTTAAGTTTACTAAAGTAAACTTATTACATCTAAGTCTAAATTTTATTCGTGGACTACAAATATATTTTCAGTGTTAAAAATTGATGAATATTATGTTGTTTGGTAATTCTTGCTGTTATTATTAAAATATTAAACATTCTTATATAAAATATCCTAGGTGACAGAGAACTGGCTCAGCACTTAAGCACATACTGCTCTTGAAAAAGAGCCATGTCTGGTTTCTAACACCCAAATCAGGCAGCTTACAGACATCTATAACTCCAGCACCAAGGAATCAGAAACCCTTTTCTAGACTCTGCAAGCACCTGTATTCATGTGCACATACCTACACAGACACTTAATATACATAATTTTCAAATTATAAAAGTTAATTTTTAAAATTCTAATGCCTTGTCAAAATAAAAACATAAAAACATGAGTGTCTCTTCTCTTATTGACAGCATTGAGGTAGATAATTGTCAAAACACACAGGACTGGGAAATACTTATATACTGTAGTCAATCATCCCTAGGCTCATAGGGAAAACAAATATAAATGATGTCGACACTTTTATGATAACTGTTCAAATGTGGCAGTGACCGTGAGTGTGATTGCAGTGAAAAGACCACAGACAGGTATTTGTGCCAGCTATCAGAACATTTGTCGCTTGGCTTCACAGTCATGCTTTAATATTTACTCTGCAATGATGGTCAGAATTCCCTCAGCACTTGTCATTTAGAGAATGTGATTTTGTTATCACTATAGTTGGGCACTGGAACTCAGCAGTACAGAGCACAGCAGAAGGGATAAGTTTCTCAACAGGACAGACAGGGTACATCTGCTACAGTATAGCCACATGTTCATACCTTATGCCCTCACAAGCCTGGCCCAGCCTTGAGATCACTTTTCACTGTCCTCTCAATAAACACAGCATATGTAACAGGCTTCAAAAAAAGTTGCAGCTCCCCCTGCAGGCACCCACTTTTAGGAGCTGAAGACTGGCAGATAAAGCAGAAGAGTTTCCTGGCAACCAGTAGGCTACAACTAGTCCTTGGGACAAAGTCCATACTCCAACCACTGTCAGGAAAGAGGTCATTCCTTTCATTTTGGAATTCCTTGATCTATGTCATCCCTAGAATTTCCTTGAGTAGCTAATTTATAACTTCCATATACTTTCAGGGCATAATTTTAATAATACTTATTATTAAATTTCTCCATTTTTAATCATTGTATGTTATATTCCTGAAGTAAGACAGATCTGGGTTCAAATTTCTCTATTTACCAGATTGTAGACTTGTGCTTATACAGATTTTAAATGATGTAAGTCTCGGGCACTATCCTTATAATCTGAGAAACAACCACTGCTTCTTCACAGGCTCATTAAAAATAATTGGGATGATGAATAAAAAAGAACGAATCCAAGTACTTGAGAGGTCATCTTTCTCATTCCCCTCATCAATCTATATATAACCTATTGGTCAATTCACAAGATGGGACGAAAAGCGTGTGACTCAAAAGTCATAAAGGGAAGAAAAGGGAGCTCCAAACCAGGCATGTTATAAAGAAGGCATATGAACACAACATAATGGGACATCAACCTTCCAGCATCAGTTTCCTTGAAAATTCCATCCTGATTAGGACATAGCTCACAGCTAGGAGAAACACCACATTTGCAGGCATCACAAAACCAAGGCTCAGTGGAGTTTTCAGAAGCCGAACTCATAATAGAGTCACTCTCCCCATCAACTCCGTAACATCCTAAAAAAAAAAGAAAAGAAACAGTTATGATTCAATAGGGATTGTTTTCTAAACTCACTTTTGTAAAAATCAAAAGAAAAGGAAAAAAGGGAAGTACAGAAATATTCTGGAAAAAGCAATGGTTTATAACTGACATAAAAACAGAAATAAAATGGTTTTGCAAAAATACTATTTCACCTTACAGTTATGACTTACTTAATCCATCTCAAATAAAAATTGTTAGCCCTATGCTATCCCAAAGTTTTATAATAACACATTTCAATATACTCAAAGTCTTATAAGAGAGTGCCAAAGAAACAGTTTTAAATGAATTAAATTAGCACACAAGCAAAGAGATCAAAATTCATTCCTATCTTTAATATTAAATTTCAGTCAGCAATCACCATCTTCATTGCTTATGTGTAAGCACAATTTTGCAACACAAAATCATAAACTGAAAAGGCTTAGGATTTTTTGTTGCTGCAGTTACTGTTATCTATAAAAGAGCAATAACTAAAATCTATTCAAAAAACATCATAAAAGAAACAATAAAAATAAAACTTCTAGTACTACAGGGAGAAAAAATCTACTTTCTTTACAAAATTATGTTCCTTTAAAGCAAATTATTTCAAACCAGAAGAAATCTGTATTCAAAGTAGACAATTAGCAAGGTAAGAATGGCCGCCAGAGGCTATCAAATTTACTAACTTTATTCAGTAAAATCAGGACACTGCACAGCAATCCACGCATTTATTTGTTTGTTTGTTTGTTTGTTTAAGATTTCTGTCTCTTCCCCGCCATCGCCTCCCATTTCCCTCCCCCTCCCCAAGTCAAGTCCCCCTCCCTCGTCAGCCTGATTGCAATCCACGTGTTTAACGTGGTTTCAATTCTTTCTAAAGATGCGTGCTGCACTTGGCAAACATCTGCGGAGTTCTCAAACGCCTACACCCATGCCGATGGCTCTGCACTCATTCGCAGACAGTCTTCCTTTGTGGCCCAGAACACTGGCACTCTCCCTCTCCGAGCACATCTGGTACATGAGAAGACCTTCCTCCGTCAGCCTCACTGTTCCAGAAATCTGACGCATAGTGTCTTCAGAGTTCAGAATTTACCATCTGACCTGCTTTACCACCATATTTTCTGTCATACTCTCAGTGTTTACTGAGCTCTAAACCAAAATTCTGGCACTTTATACCAAGACAATCTAATTCAAACCAACTAATGACTAGATACATGACTACAAAAATTTAAAAATATGTGTTTCTTTCATTCAAAACATAAGTTTATAAAACTATTCTTTCATCTGGTAAAACATTAAATTTCAAAAATTTATAAGCAAAAACTCATTATCATGTATGTTAACTAATTTCAAGTGCAAAAACACATTTAAGCCCAGGGCGATGTCCCCAGTTAGTTCCTGGGGCAGCTGAGGACAAAGAACCTGAAATGACCCTATCCTATAGCCATACTGATGAATATCTTGCATATCACCATAGAACCTTCATCTGGAGATGGATGGAGAGAGAGACAGAGACCCACACTGGAGCACCAGACTGAGCTCCCAATGTCCCAAGGAGGAGCAGAAGGAGGGAAAATATGAGCAAAGAAGTCAGGACCACGAGGGGTGCACCCACCCACGGAGACAGTGGGG